ACTGACGCTGCAGGTGAAATATCCGGAAGAAAAGCGGGATGGTCGCCCCGATCCTCAGGTAGCGACACGTCAACTCAAACGCTCGGATGAAGGCGAGAGAGTTTGGATGTAGCTGGGACGGGGCCAGCTCCAAGTGCATAAAGACCCCGGCCTGGAAATCAGTGAATGGCAGCCGCAGCCCTAGGTCTTTGAACGCGAACTCATACATCGCGAGGCTGTAATTCGGATAAACCGAGCAAATCCTTGCACGGGATGACGGGCGCATGACTGCGAAGTTCCTCTGGAAGCCGGGCTGGTCTTGACCCTCTTCAATGACAGCGTATGGATGTCGGTCGTCCCGGCTGTAGACCGACGCTATCCCCCGCGGCTCGACGCCCACCCATTCCAGCAAAGGGTCGGTCACGGTATCAATCAGGGTGACCGACTCGTCGGCACCCTGTTCTTCACGGTCGCGGCGTCCGGAGGAGCTCGGCTCGTCTGCCATGGTTACCTGCAGAGCACGGGAAACCAGTCAGTTGAGCACGAAGTCCTACGCTCGACAAAATCACGTCGTCCCATACGCGACTACATAAGTCCGTTTCCACGAATGGTTGCCTCCCCGACATCCTGAACCCGGTGTTCTTCCTCAAACCAACTGCGCGGCCACTCTCCAAGCATGTCGACCCGAGGTATGAACATGGCGAGCCGCACCATGAAGCCCACGGCCAAGACCATGAACATACCGGGCGCGATCATGAATCAGGCGCCCTGGATCATGAAGACCCCGGGCAGCTCTGAAGTTTATCACCTAAAACTATGAATGCGCCGACCAAAAACATGCGTTTGCCGGTCCTAGACATGAATGTGTCGGGCTAAGCATGAGTTTACCGGGCTAATCCCACGCGCACGGTCCTAAAACATCTACAAACGCCAGAAATCATGCATTCTAAACAGAAAAATGAAGAAGATAAATCACTTACTTGGATCAAAGAGTGGGATTTGGCTACGAAATGGAAGAATCTGTGACGGAAAGTCGCAACTGGAGAAAGTCTGGAAGAGCAGCAGCAGAGAGAGCACAGAGAGTAGAAACGTATTATGGGGCCCAAGGTTCCTATTTATAGTGATGACGTGGAATACCAAACGTCACCTCGGTTAACCACGGACTCCATCTCCTCGACGCGCTGCTCCCAACGCAATAATGACCCTACCCCCATAGGGTGGTGGCACAGTTCCCGAAAGATACCTCGTGTGCTCGACCGACGCGCCCGGTAAGGATCCTCCGCGCATCCACCGCCGAGGACGTCTCCGAGCACGACACGAGGAGGCCCCTCGAGGGCCCACGCCTTTATCCCGGGCACGAGACCTCAACGAGGGAATAACTTGGGTTCAAGTCATGGCTCCTCGCAAAGGAACCACGACTTGGGGGGCTCCTGTTCTGGACTGGGCCCGACAGGCCCAAAAGCATTGCTAAGGCCCAGTCCAAAGGGACTTACTGAGGACCACGCCGAGCAAAGGGGTCACATCCGTGCCCGACATCCTGATGTCCAGCTCGACATCCCGCTGTCCAACTCCACGTGGTGATGTCCAGCTCCACCTCCTGACGTCCAGCTCGACACCCTGCCGTCCAGCTCCACGTCCTGACGTCCAGCTCGACACCCTGCTGTCCAGCTCGACGTTGCCTCGAGCATCCCAACTAGGGCAGACTCAATCCACCGTTCCCCCAACGATACTCCGGAAAGACCGCGTCTTCGTCCGCCCGCACTTCACGCAGAACATCCAGGAAGGGGACCACGTGCGGGTCCCCACTACCCACGTAGAACCTGGCAGTTCCTCCATTGGGCCAAATCCGCCCGGCCCAATGAAGGAACCTTGGCCCAGCGCTGGGGGCTATAAATACCCTATGTTTCCAGAGGGTCAGGTATTCATCATTCTAACCTCAACTTACTATTATCTGCTCGTACTCCTACTTACTTCAGCATCGGAGTGCCTTGCAGGTACCCCCCCCCCCCCCCACCTCGTTCAAAAAGCTTTCTGCTCGGAGTCAGCCGTGACGGTCCATTTCTGATCAGGTCAGATCAGAAAGAATTTGGCTTAATTATTTCATTTTTGTTAGGTCTAATCAATTAGTGTCGTGGCCGAATCGATTAGAAACCGAGCAAAGTCTATCGATTGTTTTCTTTTTATGTAAATTTTTTTCCTATATAAAAGAGTGAAGAGCCTTGTACTCACTTCTAAAGCAAAAAAATTATGGCTAAACTACTCTTCTATCTCACTCATTCGTTTTCTAAGAGTATTTTTTATTCATTATACGTTGATTTAATATTGAGAAGTGAAAGATTTATATTAAGAATTGTGTAATTTTTTTATAGTTCTAAAAATATAATTTAAGAACATAGTTCTCTTGTATATTTGTAATTAACTTTGATGTTGAAAGTTAAATCTGATAAAAGGTTGGTGTAAGAAAGGTTCTTGGGTCGAATTTGGAGTAAAAGTTCAAGTTGTTGTTACACAAGAGACTCATAAAACAAGAGAGAGATGAATTGTGGTGATTAAAAATTGCGGTCCAATTATTAAAATGTTGAGTTACAAAAACGGTTAGTTTTTTTGGCAAGGAACTATGCAATAATAAGGATAGGGGCAAGGAACTATGCAATAATAAAGATTACAACTCACCTTCTATCTTAATATCTTTTGATGTCAATCAATTCACAATCTTCTAAAACCCACTCATATGTTCTTCCATTTAGTCAACATCCTTGTATTTTATAATAGCAAATTTTGAGATTAAATATTTTTTATTTTGCACCAATCTATTATTAATTTTCGTTCTTCTTCTTTAAACTTAAGGGTGTGTTTGTTTCAAGTTTAGAAATTACATTTTTGAGAATACATAGGTAAAAAGTGAGAAAACCTATATTTGTTACAGAGTTGAAAAAAATTATTCCTGGATATAATGATTCAAAGGAACAAAATAACTTCTTATAACTTCTCTTATTCTTATATAATTATTTCCATGTTAAAGGATTGGAAAGTTAATTTCCATGAAATTTTATATATATTTTTTTAATAAATTAATAAAAATTACAATATTCCTGAGAATAGTAAAATTTTTACCAAACAATTTTTGAGAAGAATATCTTGGAATAAATTTCTTACATTTATTTTCTTTGGATACTAATTCCAAGGAATAAATTTTGACACCTTGAAACAAACGCCCCCTAAGAACTTAATTTTTTTTTCCTCTAAATAATTGGTGAACTTTAGGAGTGAATTCACCCAATAAATTTAAATAAAAAATTTAATCATTATTTTCTACCTCACATGTCTTTCCCTCACTCTCGTCTATAAATCACATTTAGTAACTCACAATTATAGTCGCAAACACAAATAAAATTTATTTAAGCACACATTACAAATCAATTAATTAGATTTAAAATACCAAAAAAAATATATTTTGATTAATTCAAAAAGGTAATATGTCCACAGCGGTCGCGAGCATCTAGCCTAAAAACTCAAAAACGGATAAAGTAGTCTAAAAACTTAGACTAACACATCATGAGTTTAGCTAGGTATGTCCTTAAATTTCTATTGATTCACGCTCTATAAACTATAAAATCTATGATTTTTCTTTCAATGTGCTTGTTATGTACATCATTGCCAAAATAAGGCATTCCAATACCTCCAAATTACATACACACTTTACCTAAAAGTCAGTTTCAAGATCTTTGCACGACCATCCTTACCCTTAGTCTAGTTAATGATCCAGTCCACTTCTTGATTCCACCAGCCCAAAGGATCATGGTCCACCTGAATCTACTCTAGAATTTTCCTCCAAATGTCTTTCGTTTCACTTTAGTTAAACAGTAGATGTTGCTGAGATTCATCATCATTGTAGAAGCCGCAGAGAAGAGTTCCAATCAAACCATATTTAAACAGTCTGTCACGAGTTGCTAATCGCTCATTACAAGCAATCCAAAGATTGACAATTGCCTTAGGTCAGGCCAAATTTCCATATAACAGCGTCCTCTAAACAACATTATGAAAATTTTCATGAGCAACCATATACATCTTTTTCATATTAAACCTCTGTCTATTTATCATACGATCCCAACCCTGCTTCTCCTGAATTCCCTCTTGTTGCTTCATAATACTAGCTTTTATTATCCATGAGGCATTCTCCTGCACACTAACCTCCATAATCTGCTTATTTTTAATGTAGCATGCATTCATTTCTTCCAAAGGCTACATTAAAAAGTGGTGAGGAATTAAGAAAAAAATGTGGTGAGGAATTAGGCACACGTGGGGTGTGAATAAGAATATTGGAGTGTGCTAAGTATTTGGGCCGGCCCATAATGATTACACTTGTTATGATCTATAAATAACCAAATGCAAAGACAGAAATTAGGGGTTTAGAAACTTTTTGTTGCAGCTATAAAGGGTTTCCTCCCAAACATTCTTCATCGCCGTTTCCGTAATCTGAATCTCACCAACAAAATCCAAGTACGTTTCTTTCTTTCGAATTATTCATCCATCTCTACGTTTTCCTTTGAAATCTATATATTTCAATCCAGAAATATCTTTTGTCTTAGTACGTTTCTGTTTGATGAATAATGAACTAATTATAGTGTTTAATTTCATTGTTTCATGTTGCAAATCGTTAATTTGTTTCTGTTATTAATTGATGTGATTTTAGATTTGTTTTATTAGTGATTTTGATTATGTTTTTTTTTCATACCTTGATATGTTTATAGATTATGAACCCTAATGTTATAGAATAATCATTTTTAGTCACTTTTAATGGTGTTTGTTTCTTCATGCTGTTCTAATTAATAAATAATTTAAAGATGGTTTTTTAAATTAAAATGAGAAGCTGATTTAATGACTTATTTAGAGAGTGTTGAAAAACGAGAAGAAGATTAAAAAAGTGATTTTTTTTAGTCACAGATTAATGACAATATTGTTATGCATAGTTTTGTTACTTTTTTTTTTAACAATTGTGTTTGCGTTTGTGGTTGATTAGGATGGAGTCGCAGATTAAGCATGCTGTTGTTGTGAAAGTTATGGGACGTACCGGATCAAGAGGACAGGTGACTCAGGTTAGAGTGAAGTTTTTGGATGATCAGAATCGTCACATCATGAGGAATGTGAAGGGACCAGTTAGGGAGGGAGACATTCTCACCCTACTTGAGTCTGAGAGAGAAGCAAGAAGACTCAGATAGATGAGTTATGTTGTTATCTTGATGTTTTGTTGCAAGTTTTAATGAACCATTACTTGTTATTTTTGGTAGTTAGTTTATGGCAATTGTTTGTGTTTTAAGTTAAAGAACAGTTCTGTTTGTTTTGTGTCTTCGAGTAAGACTGGCAGACTTTGTATTTTGTTTTTATGACTTATTTGCTGGATTGAGACTATGTTATTGTGTTATTTTGCAAAAATATCTCTGCAACCTTCTCTTTATCGTAGTTGAAAAACTGAGAAATTATATCAGCAACAACCATGATGCCATTGAACACATTGAAAAGTGGCAGTCTAGTGATAAAATCTGTGCTTCAGATTTTGTAGGGTTTGCTTTAGCAAAGCTTTGAGGAAAGAAGTTTGTTGGCTATTGCAATAACGATAGGGGTGAGTTATTGAGTGGATGAAGTTTGTTTTTGGTCTCTTAAAGAGCACCAAGAGAAGCTTGGACTTTCAATATTTTAGATAAGGTTTCTAACCATAATGAATAATCATTACTAAATTTTATGTTACAATCTTTGTATCTTTGCTTAGAATTTAGAAACATTAGTTTTTTTTTGCAATTTTCATTATATAGTTTTTGAGTTTATACAATTTTTATTTTATGTCAAATTTTAACATCTTAATAAATACTTTATATGATGATTGGTGTTCTTACCATGCCTCTTTAGTTTCAACCAGATTCTATTTATTTGGGTGAGTACATTTTTCTTCATTTCTTCGTTTTAATAAACTTGATCATTTATTTTAAAATGTTTCACGAGTTTACACTTTTTCCAACCACAACTTTTTTATATTTATCAAAGTCCATCGATTGTTTCCTTTTTACGTAATTTTTTTTCCTACTTCTAAAGCAAATTTTTTTTTGATTAAACTACTCTTCTATCTCACTCATTTGCTTTCTTCTATCTCACTCATTCGTTTTCTAACAGTATTTTTTATTCATTATACGTTGATTTAATATTGAGAAGTGAAAGATTTATATTAAGAATTGTGTAATTTTTTTATAGTTCTAAAAATATAATTTAAGAACATAGTTCTCTTATATATTTGTAATTAACTTTGATGTTGGAAGTTAAATCTGATAAAAGGTTGGTGTAAGAAAGGTTCTTGAGTTGAATTTGGAGTAAAAGTTCAAATTGTTGTTAGACAAGTGACTCAGAAAACAAGAGAGAGATGAATAGTGGTGATTAAAAATTGCGGTCCAATTATTAAAATGTTGAGTTACAAAAACAGTTAGTTTTTTGACGAGGAACTATGCAATAATAAGGATCGGGGCAAGGAACTATGCATTAATAAGGATTGCAACTCACCTTCTATCTTAATATCTTTTGATGCCAATCAATTCACAATCTTCTAAAACCCACTCGTATGTTTTTCCATTTAGTCAACATGCTTGTATTTTATAATAGCAAATTTTCAGATTAAATATTTTTTATTTTGCACATTCTTACACCCATACAATTCTCTTAGTTTATTTCACATTTACTCTGCATCATTTTTTAGTTCAATATATATATATATACTCAAGTTCAACCATTGTCTAATTATAACACCTGTCTTTTGATTCATCTTCTTTTATTCTACATTAAATTTATCACTTAGTTTATCTTTTGTTCCGTGAATAAGATCATTCGAGTTTTTACTACTCCATTTTAAAACGAATATCAGTTTAATAAATAAATTTTGTTTTAAAATAAATGTTATTTTCACTTTTCAATCTAGAAATTATTACTATTTTTTCAATTATGTCCTTTAATTTTTACTCTCTACACTACTTCTAATATATTTATAAAATTAATATAATAAAAGTGTAATGTCTTGACACTATTATTACATTTCTTAATTTTTTTACAAAAATCTTAAATAACATTCATTTTAAAATGGAAGGAATATATAACATGTCTTCCATAAGAGTCCTTTAAAATTTATAATTAATAGAGTTGAATTTAATTATATTGGGTTCTTGACTTTTTTTCCATTTTTAATGTAAAAAAAAAACAAGTGAACCAAAATTCTTCATACCATTTTCTTACGAAATGACTAACGTTTATCCATGAAATTAAACAAACATCCAACAAAACTAATTCCATAGAAGAAGAAGAATAACAAATAATAAATAAATAGCAGAGTCTTCCTAACAGCACTAGGAAGTGACAACTTTCACCAATGATGAAAAAAATTACTAATCAACAACTTTCACAAAAATGGATATAGCAAAACAATTCTAATAGACGTTAAAATTACTAAAAAAAATATATAAATATAATAAATTAAGTGATATGAACTTATTGAAGTTTTAGCGAAAATTGATAAAATTTACTAGACACCAATCTATTACTAATTTTCGTTCTTCTTCTCTAAACTTAAGAATTTTATTTTTTTAATTTTTTTCTTTAAATAATTGGTGAATTTTAGGAGTGAATCCACCCAATAAATTTAAATAAAAAATCTAATCATTATTTTCTACCTCACATGTCTTTCCCTCACTCATGTAAGTCTCCTCTATAGATCATATTTAGTAACCCGCAATTATAGTCGCAAACACAAATAAAATTTATTTAAGCACACATTACAAATCAATTAATTAGTTTGAAAATATCAAAAAATATATATTTTAATTAATTCAAAAAAGTAATATGTCCATGACGATCGCGAACATCCAGCCCCAAAACTCAAAAACTCAAAAACTTAGACTAACCCATCATGAGTTTAGCTAGGTGTGTCCTTAAATTTCTATTGATCCACCCTCAATAAACTATAGTATCTATTATTTTTCTTTGAATGTGCTTGTTATGTACATCATTGCCAAAAGTAAGGCATTCCAATACCTCCAAATTACACACACACTTTACCTAGAAGACAGTTTCAAGATCTTTGCACGGCTTTCCTTACCCTTAGTCTGGTTAATGATCCAGTCCACTTCTTGATTCCACCAGCCCAAAGGATCATGGTCCACCTGAATCTACTCTAGAACTTTCCTCTAAATATCTTTCGTTTCACTTTAGTTAAACAGTAGATGTTGCTGAGATTCATCATCATTGTAGAAGCCGCAGTGAAGAGTTCCAATCAAACCATATTTAAACAGTCTGTCATGAGTTGCTAATCGCTCATTACAAGCAATCCAAAGATTGACAATTGCCTTAGGTCGGGCCAAATTGCCATATAACAAACAGTGTCCTCCAAACAACATTATGAGAATTTTCCTGAGTGACCATATACATCTTTTTCATATTAAACCTCTGGCTATTTATCATACGATCCCAACCCTACTTCTGCTGAATTCCCTCTTGTTGCTTCATAATACTAGCTTTTATTATCCAGGTGGCATTCTCCTGCACACTAACCTCCATAATCTACTTATTTTTAATGTAGTATGCATTCATTTCTCCCAAAGGCTATCTGCTTTTCCACACAAGTTCCACAATAATTTCATCAATGTAATTCTATTCTACACCTCGAGGTCAATGAGATTCAGACCCCCATTTCGCTTAGGCTGACAAACAGATTTCCAAGCAATAAGGGCTTTTCAGCTTTTCTCTGCACTACCTATCCAAAAGAGAGTACGACATATGGAATTAATTGTGCAAATCACAGTTTTGGGGAACGGAAAACACTGCAGCCAATAATTCATCATGGCAAATATCACACTTTTGAGGAGTTGTATTCTCCCTAGGTAGCTTAAGAGCCTAGAACTCCAGTGAGTAATCCTTCCAACAATTTTATTAATCAAGCCCATGTAGTTGTGTACTGCTAACTTCTTGTTAGTATCTGAAGGGAAGCTTACCTTCTTTAAACCGAGTGATTTCTTGAATAACCTCCTTTGTATTTTGGTCAACTCCCCCAAAGAAAATATAACACTTGGCCGAATTTACTTTGAGCCCAATTGATTTAGAGAACTTGTCAAAAGTTTCCATGACTGAAACTTTGTCTTCTATGTCAAATAATAACATACCATCAGCAAAACAAAGATTAGTGAGGCCAATCTTCTCACATTTGGCATGGAAAAGTTGTGATTCTTTTGCATCCTTTGAAAACACCTGTTCAGATACTCCATCATGATTACAAATAACAGGGGTGAGATTAGGTCTCCTTGTCTAAGGCCACAATGAGCTTTCATAATAGTTGTGTAGTTCCCATTGATGTTAAACCTATACGAAACAGATGTCACTGCTACCATGATTCAATTTGTAAACTTCTTTGGGAAGCCAACTTCATTCAACACACATTCCATAGCTTTCCAATCAATGAAGTCACACTCTTTCTGGATATCAAGTTGCATCATACACCTAGGGGTTCCACTCTTTCTATTATACCCCTTAAGCAACTCATATGTCAACAGAATATGATTATGGATAACCTGACCTGGCACGAAAGCGACTTGGTTCTGTCTAACAATGCTAGTCATCACCTCCCCCATTATTTTGGCTATAACCTTTAAAATGATCTTGTAACTAGTACTACAACAAGAAATTGGTATGTATTCCTTGATTCTCTTTGCTTCTTTACTCTTAGGTATCAAGGTCACCAATGTGCAATTTGCAGCCCCGTATAACCTGCCACTGTCAAAGAAGTCATGAACAACTCTCAAAACATCAGCTTTCATTATATTACATGCTTTCTTAAAGAAGTATGCACCATAGCCATCAATGCCAGGTCATTTCAGATCACCAATAGCCTGTAGAGCACCTTCAATTTCTTTCTCAGTGATGGGGGCAGTCAGCTTCTCTCTTTGATCGTTATTGAGTTGGGGTCCATCTCTCATCACAGTGATATCAATGCCATTTAGCTTTTTATCAGCAGTACCTATGAGTTCCTTATAAAATCTCATAACCTCTTATTCAATATCTTGTTGGTTAGTGATTTGGGTACCATCCTCTTTGTGCAGAACGTTTATCAGCATTCATTTTATCCAGACCAAGCTCTTTTGAGCCTTCAGAAGGTCATCTCTAGCCTTTGCAATTTTCACCTTGACATCCGAAAGTGGCTTGCTTAGGTCTTTCATAATAGGTTGTAATCGTTGAAGTTTCTTCCACAAAACATACATTGGTCTACCATTTATATGCTCATTCCAACTAACTGCCACTGCCTTCAAGTAACCCTCCAAGTCAGCAGAACTATTGAGGAACTTGAACTGAGTTTTCCTCCTTCTCTTTGTACCTTGAACAATATTCAGCCACAACAGGTCATGATCAGAAACACTAGGGTGTAATTCTTCTGAAGCCAACCAATATTACCAATCACTCTGTCGATCCTAGAGTAAATCATACCATCACTTTGCTTTTTTGACCAAGTATAATGATCCCCACTATTATCCATTTCAAACAAGTTAGTAGCCTCCATCATAGTACTTAGATCACTGTATTCAGATTCAGTGACAATCCTTCCCGTAATTCTATCCTGGCTCTTGAACACATTGTTGACTATGAAGCGCTTCAATATCCTCCTTTGCTCTAGATGGTTTTGTGCATAAATAGTTGTCATCCAAAAACAACCAGCTCCCATTTAAGTCATAGACACCACAATGAACCATCTGATCTGTATTACAAATCATCTGGATATTCGCATTATTATCATTCCAATAAATCCATATTATACCATTTCCATGTTTGTTGTAGTTATCTAAGTAGTTTCCTCGAAGATTGAACCTCTTCCTAATGTTTTCATCTTTGTTTTCCTTCACTCTTGTTTCAATAAGAATTGCTACGTAAAGGTTTAGTTCCAAGAGACAGGAGCTAATCTCTCTTGAGCCCCCACACATTCCATGCTATAATCATGGAACACTAAGTCATTCACACCAAGTGTTTAAAATCCATTATCACATATGACATCTCTCATTAACACATCATCCCGATCAGCAAAAGAGTGAAATCTCAAGATGAAAACCTCTCCTCATTGTAATACATATCTGGTAATTTCACAAAGTTCCACATCTTTAACATGAATTGTTTGACTTCATTCATACTCAACTCGCCACCTAACACATACATGATTAAAGATGAATCCCATGATTTCTTCGATCTCAACCTCGACCTCACCATTGACATCTTCATGCCATTGCCTGGATTTAGATTACCACTAAGCACTTCCACCCAGACCTTTCTCGCTTCAGTACTTTCAATCGGCGTTTCTAGGGTTTTTGATGCGTTGTCTTCCTCTTCGTTTTCGTCTGTAATTCCTTCATACTTTTCGTCGTCAGCCTCGATTCCATTACTCTCATGACTTGATTCGTCGTCAGCCTCGATTCCATTACTCTCATGACTTGATTCGTCGTAGATGCTGGCGCCGACTTTTTTGGTCGCCCCCGTCCTCTCCTATCATATTTGTTTTTTCATCGTATTATGTATATGCCTAAATATTATTAAAAAATTCAATTTTAAGATATATATTAAACAATATTTAGATAATATATAAACAGAATTATGACATGTATCTAACTAAATCATTTTTTTATTTAATTTCTTTTTGAAAATACGACAGATATATAAAACAAGATTGATTTGTATTATTATTTTTATAAAATAATCATCGCAGCCAATCTTTGTTACTTTCCTCGACGCAAAAGCAGTGAGCGAATACAATCGTTTCAGTCTCGAAGTGAAGAATCTCCCTACAAAACAAAACCGTTTCCGTCCCGGAGCAAGGTTCTAGTTAGGAGCTCATTTCACCTTTTTCCATCTCTTTTGTTTCAGGTCACGATTTGCACTCATTGTTTTACTTTTACAGATTGCATGTAAACTGTTTGACAAAATGTTCTTCATCCTTGTTTCTCACTAAATCCAAATATATGCATTGCAATTTTCTCACTATTCCGTCACCCATTGATTCTAAGTAAAACCCTGGGTTTATGGTCAATGTATTTGGTATAAATGTCTATTTGACCCTTCATTTCACTACGTTCTTCCTACTTTTGGTTCAGTAATGTTTTTCTTCTTTTTTTAAGTTTTATTTCTCTGTACTTTAGGTTTAAGTAAGAAGGTCTCTTTAAATTTGTGTATTTTTCTATTTTTTCGACTTTTTATGTTTACTTTGCACACTGATTTTTAGTCTTTGCAATGGCGCCTATCTCTCTATAACGCTATAGCATTTTAGAGGGTCAATGTTGTGCGACGCTATATGAGATTAACAACGTCGGATATTATTAGTCTAGAAATCCAATATACAAAGGAATTGATGATCCTTACTGTGTGAAACTTTCTTTGTTCCTTCTTTCGAGGAAGCCTTGCACTCGTCTTGTGCTTGTAATCCTTCTTTGTTCTCTCTAATAGTTCTTTTTATCTTTCATGGAGAGAGACTGTATTTGTTTCTTTCATCCTAGAGAGAGAGAGGAGAGGAAGGAACACCCTTCTCCCATTTTTAGTTTCTAATTTCTTCCCCTCTCAAGATACAAGGTTCCTAAAGTTTGTTCTATTCCAAATATGCCATACCTTGCAGGAAATAGATTGGGGATATTTATAGAAAAAGAATGAGAACTGAAGCCTTCCAAACTGCTACCATCTATCGCCATCTCCTCAAGGCAGTCAAGAAACATATTGGGAAAGAAGAGAACAAGAGACATTTTCTAGAATATGTAACCTCCGAGTTCCACAAGAACCGAAATCTGTCTGATGGTGTGGCTGTCCAACATAAAATAAAGCTTGCTCGTGATTACACTTACCTTCTTAACAACGTGCACTATCACAAGGTATTACGCAACTCTGGTTTTATTGTAATTTCCCTTCAAACAGCACTTCTATTGTGTAGGCCTGTACTGTACATAATTCCTTAGTGGTCAAATTATAAACCCATTCAGTTTAAAACTTACTGAGATATCAATATATTTAGTTGTTGTATGTATATTGCAAAATAAAAGTAAGATGTAGAAGAGGATGTTATGTGGTTTTTTTTTTTTATGCTAGTGATGAGCAATTCCATATAGCCAAATTGGATCCATGCCAGAAGGAATCCTCCGCAGATTTGGCTTATAATGGATATCAATCATATCATTTTTGTTTTGATTCATTTTATGTCTGTAGTGTAAATCATTACTAGAAAAAAAACACATTTTATCTGGCTGGTTTTCTGACCATGATTCATTGTCAACAATCTTGTAGGAGTTGCTTTTCTCATATAACATCGCAGTGGATAGATCAGACGAGGTTAAAAGAACACTTGGAAAATCTGCTGCTAGTGTTGGTCTTCAGCTTCCTGAGGTTTATCGATCATAAGGGTTTGGTAGCTATTTATCAAGATAGAGACCATGAAATAAGATGAGTAAGCGTCGAGGATGAAAAAAATTGTATTATGTATGCATTAGTTCATGTTTTTTCCAATACCAAGAACTATTGTCATTGTCAAAGCTATTTACCAAGAACTTTGTTTCAGGTTAATATATTTTCATGTCTCTTCACAATGTGTTCACATAAGGGCACAATGTGTTTATTCGAGAGTAATTTGAGATTATTTTACAAATGTTTGCAATGGAAGTTCAGTTCTTAGCTCAGCTTACTGTCTTTTTCATGAACAGTGTTGCAATATTAGGGTGATAGAGATATGAAAGAAAAAAATGTTACTTTTGTTGTTGTAGTAACTCACTAAACAATATGGCCCTTAAAATAGTTTTGATAAAATGATGAAATATCTAAAATAGTATTTTAAGAATAACTATTCAAATCAATTTTTTATTTTGAAACTTTTATGAAAAGTTTCTTTAAAATTTTTTTTAAAACAAAAATATGTTAAACTATAAAAAAATCATTTTAAACAAAACAAGCGGGCCTTTTATCAGTTGTTTGATGAAACTAATAGAAAATGTAAAATTTCTGAAAAGGTTTTGAGCAATGATATTTTGAATTCAAAAGGTTAAGAATATTACTTTTCTTGCAGAATAAACAAGTGACAACTCCCTTGAATGTTTTTTCCTGTTGAGAAGGCATTGTAGTTAAACAATCCTTGAATATATAAAGAATCAAGCATATTTTCTCTTGCCTTGTATGTGAAGTATAAAACATCATCTTTACAACCCTGCATGGATCTTTTAATTTTAATCTATCAAGTATCCTTGTCAAGAAAAGAACCCCATTTTAAATATATAAAAAAAATCAATTTTCTCATATAAGAATTCTTACTTGTATATAAAAACATGAAGTTCCTATTCAATGGATTAGATATTTTCCTTCATCCATCCAATAACACATACAACATAGTTTGGTAAAGAACAAATGAAGTCAATAGCTACACTTCTCTTGGTGCTGAACTTTTGCATGTATGTCATAGTTTTAGCCACCGGTGCATGGGCTATGAATAGAGCAATAGATCATGGTTTTATTATAGGTAAGAAAACATTTCCTATTTCCTATCTTTCACATTCATTGCATTTTTTGGAATGTCAGAAAAACAAAGGAGACTCGCCGAATTGACGTTAGCCCGTGCACATTTGTTCTATGTTTTTTTTCTTCGTCATACTTATGTTGCTAAGAATTACGCAGGTCCGGAATTAAAACTTCCAGCTCATTTTTCACCCGTTTTCTTTCCGATGGGAAATGCTTCAACCGGATTCTTTGTTACATTTTCTTTGTTGGCTGGAGTAGTTGGTGTTGTATCAGCAATTTCCGGAATCAGTCATATCTGTTCATGGACTGCTAAGAGTCTGCCATCTGCAGCTTCAGTTGCTACCATGGCTTGGACTCTTACACTTCTTGCCATGGGGTAATCTACTTTCTATGATCTCTTTTCTTCACTTCATGTACTATGATTATACTGATCTAATAAGAGTTTCATTTTCTGCAGCTTCGCCTGGAAAGAGATTGAGCTTCAAATTAGAAACGCACGTCTGGTAAGCCAAAAAAACACAATCATTTGACAACTTTCTTTGTCGACTTTATTTGTTTTACTCTTTCAAAGAATTCTGATGTGTGTAATTTTGCAGAGAACCATGGAGGCTTTCCTAATTATCCTCTCAGTTACACAACTTCTCTACATAATTGCCATTCATGGTGCTGCTGCATATAATATATATACTTGAAAGTTGAGAGTTTTTTCTTCTTTTTTGTATTTTGGTTGGCATGATGGAATGCATGTTTACTTTTTGTATTTTTTTATTTCCTTTTTTTTAACAGTCTTCGATTTTTCTTTAATTTTTTCTGATGTAATTTGAATAATTGGATTTGTATAACTTACAAAAACAATAAAGAATATCTAATTTTCTTCATATTTTTTATCAACACAAACAACTATTTTATGTCATACAACTGAAGCACAAATTCCAATATAGAGAGACACTCTGACATTGATTATGTCAAAAACATAGGCCACCAACGCCTTTACATATACGATAGTATTTAACATTCATTATCCATCTATCATTTGTTTAACTTTTCCAACACTTATAAGACTTTTCAGACATGTGTTGTACAAATACAATACAAGTGTCTGACACGGACATGTGTCAGACATCGTGACATGCCCACTCTTAGAGAAATGTGTGCTTCTTAGCATACAACTACGGAAACTTTTAAGCTATACATACAGCTCATATCACAAGCACAATGCTGTTTTATCTCATGGATGAGGAGAAAATGATGAATCAAACTCAGACCAAATTTCTATATCACAGAAGTAACCATGTAGTTTGACATGCTCAAGAATTGAACGGTAAATTGTTGCCAATGCAATAAATCCAATAAACTTCCCTATAGTAATGTAAACAAACCTTATATGATCATTTGGAAACTCTAAACCTGGACACTTTACATCGAAATGTTTTAACAAAGTCCTAATAATTTTTCTGTTTTAGCTTTTGGAAGGTCTCTAACAAGATTTTAGGATTTCGGTAGAAGCCGTGAAAAACTTGCATTGGTGAAAAGTTTCTCATGAAGCACCATTTTTCCTTTTGACATGCAAGTTGAGATCCTAAGCTTGTATTTCTGCAAGAAAAGCAGAAAGCAGAAAGCAGATATTGTCAACCATAAATCGATTTACAGCGTCAAAATGTATACTATACCGGGATAGACCACACCAAAAAAATCCTTAAAATATGCATTAGATTGAATTAATACATAGACTAAGAAGTAATTAACAAACCTGAACTTATCTATTTGAACCTGACAAAACTTCAAACATTCCACAGCAACTCCACCATGAAGTCTTCTGCACCAAATTTGGAGTCGATCTTACGGAATTCTGCATATCATATCAGCAAAGAACATATAGTCAAAATGAATTTCAAACAAAAAACGAGTCAATTCATAATAATGTAATAAAACATCCATACAGCTGAAAACGCAAAACCTGATTTTTGGAGCATTCTGGAGTCTTGGAATTCTTAGTATGTACTGTGCCATCAGTTAATGAACTAGGAGACGATGAAGTTAACACTTCACTATTAGATTCCTTTGGCTTAGGTTCTTCTAAACTTGATGCGGTAGCGTTCTCATTTGTTAAGGGATATACACTATCCTGATTTATCTTCCCAGCAAGATCGGTCACTTCTAGAAGAGGGGCTGCTCCAGACATGGAAGCCGCAGTCGCGTTGGAAGGTGAAGATTCATTTGGTTTAACCAACTCATGACGTGCAGTTTTCTCTTCAAGCAAATTATAATTCTCATCCTTTGAGTTCTTCTCAGCTAAGGATTCACCATTTGAAATACCACTGTTGTTCCCACTATGGTAACAAGATTCCTTCTCCATTGCAGTTTCAATATGCTCAAACCTTCCGTTTTCTTTCTCATAACCATCCTTAGATCTCAAATCTTTCTTTATTATAACAACGCTATTCTTCTTTCCACAAACTTCTTCCACAGACACAACATCAGAAGCAATTGATCGAGCAGCTGCTGGGTCTCTCTCATGAACCAATTCACTTCCATCATCGAAATGATCACGAATGTCACCATTTTCTTGATACACAGACAAATTATCGCCTCTGCCATCACCCGCTTTCTCATTTCCAGGCTTCAAATCATCATTTCCTAACATTATTTTTTAGAATCAGTCAAGCTATTATCAACTAAAATCAACCAAATCAACATATACCCTAACGATAAAAGTAATACAATGCAAGAACTCTTAACAGACATACATATATATCCAAATTAACCAAAAAAACCCAAAACAAAATTGATCAAGAATAATTAACAGTCAAATACCCATGTACAAAAATTAACCAAAAATACCTAAAAAATATAATTAAAATAAAAAATACAATATATAATTGAAAAGGACACATGCATGAACTATTGACTATTAGACTTGCATAAACATTGTCTCCAAAATTGATTCTACTTGAAACTAAATTATAACTTGAATTTAAACGTAATTTTTACATCAAATTTATTGTTTAATGTACTTCTACATAAATTTATTCAAACATAAATCATTTTATCTTCAACTGACTTTTACCTAGAATCAATTCATTCAAAATCAATTTTTTTCACGGCAAAACAAAACACACCCTTAAAAAATGTAAATTGACAACAAATTTGGCAAAAACAATTCTAACTACTAACACTCAGACATGTCAGAATCAAGAATCAACTTTATACATCTGTAATCACTTTTGCCTCCATCTAAACATACACCAACCAAAATTCTGAAAGAAAAAAAAAGAAAGAATATATTAGATAATGTAGCTAGCTACCTTGAGGAGGGTTATTGGTTGATAAGAGGTTAAGTTCCTTCTTCCTCCTAGCAGCTTTTCTCTTCTTAGGACCTGAAGGCATGATTGGAATGCTATGCTACCCTTTTGCAAGAACCTGAAAAAGTTACAAACTTTGAACTCAAATTGACAGAAAAAATTTATTGTCTTTTGAATATATGATGAATGAATGCAGTGAAGAAGCTACTAGGCGCGTGAAAAAGTTGAAATTGTGTCACTTTCACCTTTCAAAGTTTCAATCTTCGGACCTAACCATACAAGAAAAAAACAAAATTCAAATTTGAGAATTTTTTGGAAATATAGAAAAATATAAATAAATATGGGAATGGGTTAAATTTGTGAAGATATTTTCACCTTAAAGTAAAAAACTTGATTTTTTCTGATTTACTTTTTTTTATTCAATTGATATATCTGAATTTTTTTTTAATAACCATTAAAATTTTTTTTTTCAAATAACTATTTTTTCAAAATAATTATCAAATAATTACTTTTCAAATAATAAAAAAAAATATGTCTCAAACCACTATGTGGTGCATGCATATGAATTAGAGATGAGGCGTCACGCTGCATGGCTGTCCTCCTATGTAGTGCCATGCTGTGTGGCGCGTGTATGTATTTTTAAGGAGGAGACGCCATATTAGATAGCTTGACAGTTGTATTTGATTTTTTATAAATACAACTACTCATCTTCACCATTTTTCACACAATTTCTCTTAGAAAATGTCTTACATTCCCTTGCCAATGTTTTCCACTCCGTTGACAAGATTTTCACTGATCAAAAGAGATGCTCGTGTTATTTTTTCGGCGACAGAGCCTCTGATGAAGATCAAACTCTGGAACACGCAAAGACATTTTTAGAGGCATTTGATTCGCTGGTTGGAAGGAGGCATTCCTGACGGTGAACATATTAGAAAAATAGAAAGGCAAATTACAGCGAGGAATGAAAAAAGAGTAAGTCGTTCATGGAAAAAGTGAGATTTGACGCTGATGTCATGATAATGATGCTTGGACCAGACGATATTATGTTGATGGTTTTTATCTATTAGATATTATGATGTGTTTAGTTATTTTGTCTGCTTATCATGTTGTTGTATTTTGCGTAGTTGTTCTGAGTTGGTCGTGTTGTAATTTTTTGGACCATTATCTGAAGGTTGTTGTAATCGAATGTTAACTTGAAAAACCCGAATTTAAATTGAAATTTCTTGCTTACAACAAATTAATTACTCTAGAAAGTTTGCTATAAAAAAATTAGGTTGCAGAGTTAGACCCAATATTAAGACAATTTTTTCGATTGTGTCTGGGAAGACGATATGTACTGCATAATCTTACCATTTTGTTGGCCCTATCAATTTGAGTCTAATATGAGTGCTATTGGGGCGCCCCTTTTTCTTCCTTCGCATTTGTTCATTGTACCAAGCAATGTCCTCTTGATAAGCAGGCCAATAATCCTCCTTTGCCAACACGGAGAACGTATTGATGTGCACACTTAAAACACTCTTGACTGTGTAAACGGAGGATATATGTCCTATTGGGTCCAAGCGAACATGCGAACATGCCTCTATGACATGGGATCTAGACATGCGAAATGCTTGAAACTTTCTGCAATCGCGCCAACTTCTATCTAGTTCGACCCGATAATATCCTCTTGACCTTCCCTCATTATGATCTATTGTCTCTTGTACACTAAACCAACCTTTAATATGGTCAAACACAGTGACACTATGGGTGTTAGCTTTGGAAGCTAACTCATTAAATGATTTCATTGTGCATTTACTGAACAAATGTCCTGATTGTAACACTTTCCTCTATTTTGAACTTCTTGTGTCGAACAATGACTCCAACCTAAAGAACGTGTACATGTTATTCGATCTACCGATCGATGGTAAGGTTGTCAACGGTCGAGTCAACCAAGACAACACCATATGCGAGGAACTTTTGGGAGCCTATTTATTTGAACAAGAGTCTAGAGGCCAATGTATTATTCTATGTCTCATTGGAGAATATCATAGTAGTATCGTAATAACCGAAAACTCTACCGAGCAAGAAAAAATTGTGAAAGCTCAGTGTTACATAATGATATTATTTGGTCACTTTTTATTTCCTGAAACAACGAGTAATATCATGTATTTACCTTTGTTAAGACATTTTGATAAAATAAACACATATAGTTAGGGCTCTGCTGTTTTGGCCCATCTGTATATTTCTTTGTGTAAAGCTACAGTTCGGCAATGCAACAGGGTATCACATACCCCATACAAGTTTGGGAGAATGGCGTCTACTCAGAGTTGATGACCAATGGGGATTTAATGATTTGAGAGACTTTGCTAGAAATCATTGTCGTCAATGGAGGCATCGACGTGAATTGGTCCTAAGGGAGCCGATCTCGCAAGATGACTTAAAACCAACTCTCCAATATTTGACATGGTACACATCGGTTTCAACAAATTTGTTTGTCTCATGAGACATATTTGACCGACCTACGCCAAAGAGCTACATCATACGCCCAACAACAACCCCAACATCCAACCCCTCAACAATACCAAACCCAACAACAATGTCAACCCACTCAAACCCAACAACCATACACCACCACATTCAACAAAACATGTCATCAATTCATGCCACACACACAAACACAATACCAAGAGCATAACTTGAACCACCACCAACAATAAGCACCCTTAGCATCCTACCATAACACCGAAGACACATATGATACCCCTCATTCCTACCATACCACTCAACCTACAAACAATCAAATATCACACTGTCGAAGTACCCAACCATCATACGGATTTCAGACACCTTAAGAACCGTTGCTTCGTTTCCAAAATGATTCAACATCCCAATTCTACCAACCACCCCACCCACACATATCCCAACCAACAAGACCAAACTTCAACAATATGGACATCGATCTCTTTGGAAGCACATTACAATGGGGAGAAATAATCTAGGAGATGTATGATCCTAATGTACCAGGACCATCACATCAAGCACCTCATCATCAAGCGAGTCAGAACAGACCCCAAACACCTCAGGAAATTCCGCAGAGAGTGGTGAGGCAAGGGGTGAGGCAAATGTTGAAGCGTTTATGTCATACAGAGACACACTTAGGTTGAGGGGTCCGTAAAAATATATATTTATGCATTATGTAATTTAAAATATTAATATAAAATATTTTTAATTACTTTTATTATTATTTAAAAAAAATTAATAACAACAACTATCAAGCCATTTAATATGGCGTCTCCTTCTTAAAATTACATCCATGCGCCACACTACATGACACTATATAGGAGGACAAGCCATGCAGTGTGGCGCCTCTTCTCTAATTTACATGCATGCGTCACATAGTGGCTTGACCTCTGTGTGGCGATTTTTTTTATATTTGAAAAATGGCTACTTTAGTAAATTTTTTTGAAAAAGTGATTATTTAAATTTTTTTATTTTTAAAATGGTTATTTAAAAAAAATCGATATATCTTACTTTATTATTATTACAAATTCATATTTTAGCCTTTTGAATTTACTCTAGAGAGACAAGATATTTAAAGGGAATATTTTTATTTATCAATTGACTAAAATTTATTAAAAATTAAAAACCTTCCAAATTTGAATTATTTAATAATTAACTAAATATGATAAAGTAAAATTTGAATTTTGATAGGTGCAATAATTCTTGTATTGAATTAGTGTTAAAAGAAATCTACGTAAGATCGGATGTCAAATTTTAAAAAAAAATATGATAAAAGGAAATAATATTAAGTGATAGAAAGGTAATGAACAGAACCAACTCGAAAATAATTTGAAATTATATTTATAATTAAATCGTTAAATTAAGTTTATGAACTAAATAAATTAAATATGAATTAAAAACTAAGTTTGTAAATGAGTCGAATTTGAACTATACTTAATTTGCTTCGTTAGGTTCATGAGTCAACTCAATTATATATGAGATGAATTATATTATCTTTAAAAACAGTTTAAAGATTTTCTTTTAAACACAGTCTTATATTTTCTTTTAATCTAACTATTTTTATTAATAACTTATATTTTTAAATGAGCAAAATATTTTTTAAAATAATTATACAAAAAAATCAACATCGTATAAATTTCAATCTTATAAATTTAATTTTACTTCTATGTCTTTTATTTATAAAAAATATATTAATCTATAAAGTCAAATATATAAAAATAATAGACTTTAGAGAATAACTCACTACACCAGAAGTGATTTTTAACAGCGCACATTAGACAGCGCTTTTATACAAAAGCGTTGCTATAAGTGAATTAAAAAAAAAAACACAGAAACTATATAAAATAATTAGTAAAAGCACTGCTAAAAATATGACCTTAGACAACGCTTTTAAAAAGTGCTGCTAAAGTATTGCTTCAGAAAGCGCTTTATCAAAAGCGCTGGTAAAGGTCCACTTTAGACAGCGCTTTAAGAAAGCGCTGTCTAAAGTCATAATTTTTTTTAAAAAAAAATCAGAAAAGCGCTGCTAAAGGACCCTATTAGCCAACGCTTTTCCAAAGCGCTGCTATAGGTCCATATTAGCCAGCGCTTTTAGAAAGCGTTGTCTAAAGCCATATAAATGAAAATTAAAAAAATAGAATCAGTGTATTCACAGATTCACGAACAAAAAGCGTAACCCTTTCCCTCCTTGAACATAAAGTGTAACCCTTTCCCTCCTTGAACCGAAAACGTAAATCCTTCGCCGTCGTACCAGCCCCCCTTCGTCCTCCACCGTCTCTCTCGGTTTTCCTCCACCCACACCGACCGGTTCTCAAGGTAGGTTCTTTCTTGAAAATATCTTTATCTCCATTGATTTCCAAACTGAGTTATCCTCCTATTGATAATGTACTATGCTAACATCTAAGACATTATCCTCCTATTGATGTCTAAACTGAGTTATATGTATGTATTTTTATTTTTGGGTTCTTGGTAGGACTTGATATATAACAGCAACACTTTTAGCATTTAGCATTATTGCATTTTCTTTTGGTTCTTTGTTTTGAAATAAAAAAGATGATATATATGATGGGTTTTTTTGTTATTTTA